GCCACCCGCCCAAACTGCATCACGATGTAGTCAGCTGCGGGAGAGAGGGCGAGCCAGCTCCGTCACCTGTGCCCCCAGCCTGCCTCTCCCTGTCCCTGTCCCCAGCGAGCCCACGCCGCAGCGGCCAAAAGAAGCTGCCCACGCACCCCCACCCCACCCCAGCCCGGGGCTCCTGTGCTCTACTGCAGCACAGATCGCCAAAATGCAGCCTTTTCCCGTGGTGCCTCCAGCACCCCCCTCCCTGGATGCCACAGCCCCCCAAGGGACAGGGACCCCACTCACCCCACCCCCCCTTTGACCGTGGGATTGCTGCTGCTGGAGGGCGGGTGACAGGAAATCTGTAAAAATAACCAGGGGCCCTCAAGAGGCTTTTTCTGTCCCGTAACCCAACACCCCGGAGGCCAAGGGCTTCTGACTGCGCCGGACAGGTGACGAGCAGCCGCATCCAGGCAGAGCTGCTGCCACCCCTGAGGGACCGTCCCCGAGGCTCAGTGCACCCCAGGGTGAGGCTGCCAGCAGTGTGCTGGGGACAATGCTCTGGGTTGGGTGGGTGGCTGGAGTGTGATGGGGGCTCAGCACCCCACAGCATCTGTCCTTGCCCTAAAGCTGCCTGGCAACAGGAGCCTCACACGCTGCCCCTGCCAGCGCCAGGGCCCAAGGGCAGCTCCTGCAGGAGACCTGTCTGGCTTCATCCCAGCTCCACAAAGGCAGGCAGGGCTCCAGAGCATGAAAAAAACTGAACTTCAACAAAAACACTGGGTGCTGGGGCCAGCTCATGAGGCAGTGCTCCCCCACCCTATCCCCTGTCCCAGCTTACGGTCACTGCTGTGCACGATCTGGAAATTTTTGACGGAGGCGTGGGTGACCCGGCCGTGGAAATTGAGGACGTAGGATTGGGTCTCGTCGTTCCACACTGGGGCTTTGTTGTGCAGCTCGATCACGTTGTCCATGTTCCTGTTCTGCCATCGCATCAGGAGGCCGTCGTTATCCTGGGGAGGGGCAAGAGGGAGGGGAGCAGAGTTGGGGTAACCCCTCCAGAGCCCTGCCACCTCCCTGTGGCATCCTGGGGGATGCTCTGCAACAGAACCCAGCTGGAAATGGGACCTATTATGGGGAAAAAGACACCATGTCTCCCATCTCCCAGGGACACCTTGAATTTTAGGGACACCTGAAAGCCTCTCCATGCCCCAAGATGGGTAAAATCCAAGGTGGTGCCCAGCAAATTCACCTCCCAAGGTATTTCTCTCAGTCTGGCCCCTGACTTACGTTCCGGGGCCGGATGGGCACCCTCTCACAGTCAGCATTCATCCCAGGGATGATGACAGTCATCTTCCGGGGGCCTTTGAACCCTAAAACGTTGGTCTCCTACAACAGAAACCCCTTCCCTAAAACCAGCCACCACCGCGGCTTACAGCCTCTCAGGGGGGCTGAACGAGGCCTCGGGGGTGGCTCCAGCCCACCCCACGTGTCTGCAAGCCCCAGTGGAGGGGTGCAGGGTGGGAACCCCTCTCTCCCTGCCCGGGAGAGGCGGGAAGGGGCTCCCTGTGTGGCTGCTCTTACGTAGACCACGGCCGAGAGCTCCTGCCGCACGTTGGACCAGTCGGCGTTGGCCCTGTCGGGGTTGGCGCCGTTGTCGAACACGGTGAACCTCGTCCCCATCAGGTTGGATCTGCAGCCAAGGGTGGGACGTGGCCGTGGCTGATGCCACCGAGTCCCCTCTGCCCCCTCTGTGGCCTCTCTCCAGGCACAGCCTTGGTTTTGGTCTGGCTGCGAACCCCCGGTGCTGCTCCCCGCCAGTGCCGACCTTCCCGCTCTTCAGTGGTTTTCTTGGGTTCAAGGAACCCCCAAATCGGGGTGTGACAGGGTGCTGCCACCACGGGGACCCCCAGCATTGCTGTGTGGCTGCTGGCAGTGCGGGCTGGGACTTGCCAAGTGCCTTTTCTAGCCATGACCTGTCTGCTGGGAGGAACCGGCCAAGCTTGTTTTCCCCTGTCAGCCCCCCACCACTCCTCAGGTCAGACACAGCAGTGGGAAATGCTGAATTTAACCTCCTGTCTGCGCCAGCCATAGCTTGGGACAGCCTGTAAGTCATGGAGTGGGAAAAGGGTGCTGCAGAAACGGGGTGCCACCAAGCTGGGGTGCCAGCTCTGCTCCTACCTCAGCTTCCCGATGAAGTTCTCTCCACCCCGTGACAGGTCAGTGGGGTCGATGGAGATGAGGTAGTTGGAGGTTTTGCTCTTCTTACGCTTTCTCCCAGCAAGGAGGAACACCTGGTAGAGCAGTGGGACCATGTGGGAATGGCACATTGTCACTGCCATTGTCACTGCTGTCCCCCAAGTCACTGCCATGACCTTGAGCAAGCCATGAAGATGATCCCCAAAATACTGTCTTCATTACAGGGCAGGAGGGGCTGAGCCCAGCCCAGCTTTAGCACGGCTCTGTAGCCACTGTCAGCTCATCCTCCCAGGCACCACCCACAGGAACTGCAGCAGAGGGGAGCAGCCTCATTCAGGGTGCACCAGCACAGCGGGGTGAGGCGAGCATCCCCCAAACCCTGAGGGTGCTCTCTGGGATGGATATCTCCATGCCCCCGCCCCAAATCACCTTCTTGTCATTGTCCAAGTGCAGGTAGTAGGTGGGGTAAAGCCCCCTGTCCATGCCCTTCTTGTCCCGTGTCACCCGGCACTTGACGGTGACGCCCTGCGGCGCCGGCTGCAGCACGAACTCCTCCAGGTTGTCCACCTCGATGACAGGGGATGGGGGCCTCTCCTCCTTCTGCTGCTGCGTGAGAGGGGATGGTGACCCCAGAGCCCCCCTCCCTCCCCACTAATTGCTCCTTGCTGTTCATCCCCCCCGGGCTCTGCAGCTGGTGGCTTTGGGGACACTCTGGTGGCTCTCAGCGGGGGATGCTGCAAATCTCCTGACCCGCCCTGAGGGGAAGAGCTGCTCTTCTCCCACCCTGAGGGGTTCCCCATGGCTCTGAGGGGTCTTTTGTACCTTCTTTGATTTCTTTGCTTTCCCCTTCTTGTTGGAGTTTTTCTGCTGGGCCTCTGGGGTCTCCTCCTCACTCTCAGCCCCTTTGGGAGGAACTGCTGGCAGGAACAGGTAGGGACACAGAAGGGAGAAGATCCTGACTCTACTGAGCCCCAAAATCAAGCTCAGCATAGACCAGTGCCAACATCAATGGCCTCTCCATGGCCAAGCTCACTGCACCCCCAGAAGCCCCCCCAGAACCCCCACCCCTCTTCTCCCACCCTGAGGGGTTCCCCATGGCTCTGAGGGGTCTTTTGTACCTTCTTTGATTTCTTTGCTTTCCCCTTCTTGTTGGAGTTTTTCTGCTGGGCCTCTGGGGTCTCCTCCTCACTCTCAGCCCCTTTGGGAGGAACTGCTGGCAGGAACAGGTAGGGACACAGAAGGGAGAAGATCCTGACTCTACTGAGCCCCAAAATCAAGCTCAGCATAGACCAGTGTCAACATCAATGATTGTAACCCGCTCTCCATGGCCAAACTCACTGCACCCCCAGAAGCCCCACCAGAACCCCCACCGCCCAGTGCTGGGCTCTCACCTTTCTTTTTGGATTTTCTCTCTTTTGGGGGGTCCCCACCAGTCTGAAAGAGGGATGCTGGGTTTTTCTTCTTCTCTGACCTAATGGGTTTGGTGCTGGAGTCGGAATCGTCCTCCTCATCGCTGCTGGTGGCGGCTGTGAGGGACAGGGGGACACGGTCACACAACACGGGTGATGCCACCAGGCGGCAGGACTGGCTGCCACCTCCTCCTGCTCATCCCATACCTTTCTTCTTGCTTTTCTTCTCCTTCTTCACCTGGAACACGGACATTGGCTCCTTCTTGGTGCTTTTGGCAGGTTTGGCTTTGCTGTCAGGGTCGCTCTTGTCTTCTGCTGGGACAGAGGAGCTGATGAGCAGCCAGCCAGGGGGACGGGAATGGGCAGTGATGGGGACAGGGTCGGAGCAGCAGGAAGGGCTGAGCTGGGGGGAGATCGCTTGGGGAGGGGGCGATGGCTCTGCAGCCCCCTGAGCCTCCGGGACAGTGAAGGCATTTTCCTGGTCCAGCAAGGCCAGATCCCAAAGCTGGGCTTAAGCCATCCCTGTCCCCTGCGCACTCACCCTTCGTCTTCAGCTTCTTCTCACCCCCGCCTGAGAGGGGCTCTTTGGGAAGCTTCTTCTTGAGCTTTTTCGGCGGGTTTTTATTCTCCACCTCTTCTTCCTCATCCTCCTCATCCTCAGCCGGCTCTGCCCGGAGGTGACCGCGGCATCAGCCAACAAAACACCCTTGGGCAGCGGGGTCCCCCAGCGAGGAGGGGCCGTGGCTGGCGGCAGCGGCCGGAGCGGGGCTCTCGCTGTCCCCGGCGGTGCCGGGGTCCGGCCCGGCCGTGTCCAGCCGCAGCCAGAGCGCTCTCTCGCGGCCGCAGCCGAGCCGAGCCGAGCCGAGCCGCTCCTCGCTCCCGGGGACAGCAGTGTCACCTCCCCAGGGAGTGTGCCACCCCACTCTGCCCCTCGATACCCGCTCCCCGAGCAAGGCAGCGAGCGCAGCTCCCCCGCCACATCCCCGCTCCTCCCAGGTCCGGAGCGGGGTTTAGGCAGAAAGCTCTGCCGGGGATGAGCAGAGCCCGGCAGAGCCCCGGCACAGCCCCGGGAGCACCCCCGGCGCTATCGGGACCTGGCACCGGGGCACACGAGGTGCCACGAGTCTGCAGAGGGGCGGGTGTTGGGTGTTGCCCCCGCACCTTGTGGTTTCTTGGAGCCCTTGGGCACTTGGGAGCGGGGAGCCAGGCTTTCCTTCTTCTTCCGAGGCTCCTTGGGGAATTTGGAGGAGGGGTCCTTGTCGCTTTCCTCCTCCCCCTTCTCCTCCTTCTTCTTCCTCACCTTCTTCACCCCTGCACGTTTCAAGAGATGCCCACGATGGAGAGTGCCTCGGGTGCAGGGTGGGGCGCCCCAATTCCCCGGGGGCTGTGGGGGGCTGTGCTCACCCTGTGCCGGGGCTGGGGGCTCCTCTGCAGCCCCTGCCTCACTCAGCTTCTTCACCCGCGGCCGCCGTGGTTTGGCCTCGGGCTCCAGCCCGGGCTCCTGCCTCTTCTTCTTCAGCTTCTGCCCTCATGGACGGTGCTGCAGAGGTGGTGCCAGCTTAAACACCTTTTCCCTTTACCAGGGAACCCCTGCTCCATCAGCACTGGGTTCCTTCCAGAAATACAGCCAGGCTTTCCCCCGGCCCAGCACGGGGAGCAGGGGACACACTGCCACCTTCCCAAGTGTCACTTACCGTGGGGCAGCCCCCCGAGGAAGGCAGAGGGAGGAAAACACAAAGGTTTGTTAGCAGACAGACAGAACACCTGCCCTGGGACAGCCCTGGAGGTGAGGGATGGGATGATGGTGCTGCTGTGACACCGTGTCAGCACAGAGGGACAAATCACACAGGGGACCCTGGCTGGGAGCCACTCTGGGCACCTGAGCTGGGACAGGGGACACAGGGAGGGGCAGACAGCCTGGACTGTCACCTCCATCAGCTCTCACACCCACAAGAAGCTCCTGTGCATGGCAAGGAGGTCAGCAGGAGCAAGGAAGCAGCAGGATTAGGCACAGCATACCTAATCCTGGTTAGCTGGGGCTATAAATAACCCCGATTTACCAAATACAGAGCATGTGGGTCAGCACCTGACTCTGGGCAGGAGGTATTTGGGGAGTGGGTGTCAGCTCAGGGCTCTCAGAAAGTGATCTCAGCAAATCCAGGTGTACCGAGGCTCCCGCTGCCCAACGGAGCATCTTCCCCCTCGCAGGGCTTTCCCTTCTCCCACGTGCTCCAGGGCAGCGTGTTTTGCAAAAAGTGGGATCCTGATGGATCCCTGTGATATCCCAGGACTGTGAATTTGGGGAGGGGGAGCTGGGGGCTCCATGGTGAAGCTAGGAACTGGCTGTTTTCTTCCGTGTCATGAGCTCACACAGAAAATCTCCTTTGCACCCCCTAATCCCTTAAGCAGCTGCAGGGTGGGCAACCACTCCCTTACTTAACAAAGCCCTTCAAGGAGGAGCTGCTGATTAAAAATTAAATTGGGTGGTGGATGAAATTGCTGCTGAGAGCCTTCCAAGGCTGGGGGGCACTGGGGGGCTGTTCTGAAAGGCAGGCAAGGGGGGTCTGGCTTCCAGGGTCATGGCCTGGGGAAAGTGAGTCACAGTTTACAGCTTAACTGAGGGGCTTAATTAAATTGTTATCTAAGAACTAGGATCCCTCCTCATGGGGTGCTTCAAAGTGGTGGAGGGGGGATTCAGAAGGATGCACAAAGAAGGGAGGGCTGTGGAATTGTCCCTACCCACCTGCTCAGGAGGGGGTTCCCAAAAATCATGCCCTCACAGGCTGCAGCACCCCAACAGAGCAGCCCCAAATTTGCCTTGGTGTGGGCTCTGGGGTTTGAGGGTCTCTGATGTCCCAGCCCTTGGGGACAGCCCACAGCAGGGGATGGTGGCACATGGGATGGAGGGGAAGGATTTTTTTCTCACCTGTTTGGGTTTGTGCTGCTGGGGGCTCCCCGGCTCTTCACTGGGGCTGTGGGGCACAGAAATCAAAAGGGTGAGGGCTTTCAGCCCTCCACAGACCCTGGGGGCACGAGATTGCCCCGATTTTTTGTAAAGGGGGAAAGGTCAGTCTTTTATTTGGTTCCAGCAGCATTTCCCTCTCTCGACTGGGTCGAGCTTGCCTGACATCATCCCTCCTAACAGAGCACAGGACAGGCTCTGCCTTGGCCGGGGGGGACAGCAAGGAGCTTAATTTGGGGATCCCCATCTAACAAACTTTTCCTCTCTGTAAATCAGTGAGCATCATCCCACCAACCCCCAAAGAAACAACACCATGATTAAACTGCTCACTGAACTGCGCTGAAATTGAAAACAGGAGGAAAAGGAGCTGGAGGAGAGGGGAGTACGCTGGGGGTGTCCAGGACATCTCCCACCCCATGGATGCCACACTGCAGATCCCACCCCGTGGATCCCACAGTGCAGATCCTCCCCATGGATCCCACAGTGCAGATCCACCCCATGGATCCCACAGTGCAGATCCCACCCCATGGATCCCACAGTGCAGATCCCACCCCATGGATGCCACAGTGCAGATCCACCCCATGGATCCCACAGTGCAGATCCCACCCCATGGATCCCACAGTGCAGATCCACCCCATGGATCCCACAGTGCAGATCCCACACTGCAGATCCCACCCCATGGATCCCACACTGCATATCCCACCCCGTGGATCCCAGGGGGTTGTTCTGAAAGGCAGGGAAGGGGGGGATCTGGCTTTCAGGGTCATGGCCTGGGGAAAGCTCAGCTGTAAACCCAGTGGATCCCACCCCACAGATCCCACCCCACAGATCCCACCCAGCCCCCGGCACCGACCTGTCGGCAGCCCAGACCTCTCTCAGGATCTCCGTCTGCAGCGGCATCGCTCCCGGCCCGGCTCTGCACGGCCCGGCCCGGCACGGCACGGCACGGCACGGCTCGGCTCGGCTCGGCTCGCTCCTGCCCTGCACCCCTAGCAGCCCAGGGCCATGGGCTCAGTCCCAGCCAGAGCGGCCTCGGCCGCCTCCGCAATCTCCGGGCTGGGCGGAGGAGAAGGGAAAGGAGGGAGAGCAGGTGGAGGAGGCGATTAACTTTATTTCTCCTGAAACTCGGTTAATAGGATTTCAGGGGCTGGCAGGCAGGCTTGCCGGGAGAGCAGCTGGTAGGGAGTAATCGCGGGGAAAGGGGGCTCTGCAGGAATGCAGGGGGTCAAAGACCCCAGACCTTTTTGGGGTGCACAGGTTCCCCCCTGGCTGGTTGGGGTCCCTGGCACGGCACAGCCCGTGGGCAGAGGAGCAGCTCTCTGACTGTGTTTAGGTTATCCTCCCTGTGTATCTTTGTTTTTCACCCAAAAGTGTCTTCTTGGCGGGTGAAAAGCAGGATTTGGGCTGTTTTGTGTGAGTTCACATGGAAAGCCCATGCAGGGGAAGGCAGCATCCCTGCTCCGGGTGGTGCTAGGGGTTTCTGTACCGAGCACGGCTCTGCCCTGACCCTGTCCCACGTCCCGAGGTCTCTCTGGATGTGTTTCACAATCTCCTGCTCACTCCTCCCCTGCTCACCACTTAACTGCTGCTGTTCCTCCTCAGAGGCCCCATGGACGCTCTCGGGTTGCAAAGCCAGACAAGCCAAGTGTCCCCAGTGTCCCCAGCGGCCCCTCGGCCTTGGCCAGCCCACCACGGTCCCCCCAAAACCCCCAGCCCGTGCTTGGTGCCACTAGATGGCATTTGAGCACTGCACACCCACCGGCACCGGGATCTTCTTAATCCTCCTTACAAAACCCTCCTGGTTTCCCTTTCATCTCTAAACCTCATCACCCACACGAGTTCCATTTCTCTTCCAAGGGACAGAAAGGCACCAAGCCAAAATAAACTGAAAAATCTGCTTAAAAACGGGGAGCAAGCCCAAAAACTACAAAGCAAGTTTCACTCCTCCCCTGCTCACCACTTAACTGCTGCTGTTCCTCCTCAGAGGCCCCATGGACGCTCTCGGGTTGCAAAGCCAGACAAGCCAAGTGTCCCCAGTGTCCCCAGCGGCCCCTCGGCCTTGGCCAGCCCACCACGGTCCCCCCAAAACCCCCAGCCCGTGCTTGGTGCCACTAGATGGCATTTGAGCACTGCACACCCACCGGCACCGGGATCTTCTTAATCCTCCTTACAAAACCCTCCTGGTTTCCCTTTCATCTCTAAACCTCATCACCCACACGAGTTCCATTTCTCTTCCAAGGGACAGAAAGGCACCAAGCCAAAATAAACTGAAAAATCTGCTTAAAAACGGGGAGCAAGCCCAAAAACTACAAAGCCAGTTGATTTTTTGGGGGGTTTTTTTGGTGTTTTTTTTTTTTTTTTTGGGTTTTTTGTTTTTTTTGTTTTTGTTTTTTTTTCCTGTTGAGATTATTTCCTATGGAAAATGTGGCTTGGGCTGCCCCCAAAGGACTTTTTTGCCCTGCAAGGAAAAATGAAAAATCCATATTTTGCAGAGGCCCTGGGTCTCACAGCAGCCTCCAGGGAGGTGCATCCCATGGTGGTAGAAAACTCAAGAGCTGGATGAGCAGCTGGAGCAGCTGTGCCACTGCTGCAGGTGGGAAAACAGACAGGCTTGAGAAATGATGCTTCAGGTAGCACCTGATGGGACTGGAGAAGAGGAATTTTAACCAAATCTGGCTTAGTCTGCCAAGATTGTGGAGGGGGGTGTAAAAGAGGGGTGGGCAGTCCTAATACCCCACTGGCTCAGCTTTCTGTTCTCTCCCCACCCTCGGTCAAGGGGCACAAATGACTCCTCCACCCACTCAGCTGACCCTCAGGAAAACCCCTCCTAAAATAACACACTAGGGATGGGGGGAAAAAAAAGCATAAACCTCCCAGGGTGAAAAAACAGCTGAGATCCCCAAAGAGCATCTCCCAGCCAGGCACTGCCAAAGCAAGGATTGCTGGCCCTTCACTGCCTGTCCAGGGAACAATGGCACTGATAAAAAGGGGCAGCACCAGCTCTTGGAGACACCAAAAATTCCTGGGGCATCTCCCCCCCAAGGAGCACCCACCCATCCTCCCCACACCACCCCATGTGCTGAGCAGGATCCAGAGAAAGAGCACTATTTTATTTTATTTTTTCTTTCCTTTTTCTTTCAGTTGTTTATTTTCAAGCTCCAAAAGGGGTATTATTGTAGAGACAGGAAAAATAACAACTGGAAAAGCTGTTCTCATGGGGTAGTGACAGTGTCCCTTTGGGATGGGCTGATGGCTGAGGAGGCAGCAGCAGCTCTGGTGCAGGGACACCATGCACCCAGGACCCCCTCACCATGGGAAAGCTGCTCAGTGACAAACCCATGGCACCAGCTCAGACCCAGCCACTTTCTGAACCACATGTCAAACCTGCTTTTTTTGTTTTCCCCACATACAGATCCCAATAAAAGCAATAAAACTCCCACTTAAAGCTGGGAGCCAAGGGATGGGGTGCAGGCTGTGGGTTGAGCACCTGCAAAGCTGGACAGGCTTTTTCTCTCTAAAGAAACAGGAACCAGCTCCTTCAGAAGGTAAAATCCGTGTGTGCCCCCCTCCCCAAACAGTGCTTTAAAGACTAAAGATGTCTCTGCACCCTGGGGCTGCAGCAGAGGTCGGGTGGTTTCTCATCCTGGCTCTGCCCTCCAAACTTTGGGCACAGGCAAGGAGTCAGCAGGAGACAAAGGCAGTCCCTGTCCCCAGGGCTGTGCTGGGACAGCCAGAGGCAGCACTGCAGTGTGCAAGGAGTGTGCAAGGATAGTGTCCCACGTCCCAGCTCCTCTCAGAGGATGCTGTGCTGAGAGTGGACACAAAGCCCAGGGAGCTGGAACAAGCCATCTATGGAAACCTCCCAGCAGCCAAGCGCTTTAATTTATCATGATAATAATTTCTTTTCTTTTCCCTGCTGTTTAAATGGTATTTGTTCCACGTGCAGTGGTCCCACGGTGTCCTGCCACCCCTGCTCTGCCCCCCCGTGCCCCCAGGGCGGTGGGACGGGGTCGCTTTTCTTTGCGAGGTGCTTTTGGCTTCCACGATCACACAAACTGTAACAAGCTTTACAAGGAAACACTGGCAAGTCCCAAGGTTTGGCAGCAACCTTTTTCAGTGTGGGCCGAGGGCACGAGGCTATCCCATCCCCTCCTCCTCCATCATACATGTCCTTCAGCCTCTTCACCTTCAGCACCAGGAGTTTTGGGTCCTTTTCCACACGCCGCCTTCTCTGCTGTTTTTTCCACACCAGTTTTGCTGGCTGCTTCCTGCCAAACAGCAAATAGAACAACACTGAGGTGGAAAGGGGAGAGGGAAGGGGCAGGCAAGAGACAGGGATGCTGGGAATTGGCCCAGGAAGTCCAGCATGGCAGGGGAGAGGTAAAATTGCCCCCCACAACTTGCCCGTGCCCATCAAGCAGTGCAGCTCCCACTGGAATGTTCTGCTTCCTTGACTCAGTGGCTGGTAGAGGTTAAAGCTCATCAGTTCAGGCAGCTTTTGGGGAAGGTGTGGGACCCCTGGGAATGATGTGACCCACCTCACCAGAAGCAGAGCCTGACACAGAGAGAGCCTGGATGGATGGATGATGGATGGATGCTGGATGGATGGATGATGGATGGATGCTGGATGGATGGATGATGGATGACGGATGGATGGATGGATGGACAGGGAAGAGAGGATGAGGAGGTAAGGCAGCAGTGTCAGAGTGGAGATACAGGACTGAGCTGTGGGTGCAGCCCATCAAGGGGGTGCAGGAGAGGAGCACTCAGGCACAGGGAGCCTTTTGCTGCTCCAGCAGTGACTGTGCCCATCACAGCTGCCCACACAAGCCAAGCACAGAGCCAGCAGCTGGCCAGGCTGGCCCTGATCCTTGCCCGAGCCAGTGGCCCCAGCATGCTGCTCCCCAGGGGCTGCACCAGTCAATTAATCCACAGCCTCAGCCTCCAGACACTGCTTCAGAAGAGATTATACTAAAAATGACCCATGCAGTGGCTTGCAAAGCTGTGTCCTCTCTCATTACAGTACACCGGGTTTTGTTCAGTGGAATTTTGGATGAGAGCCTGTTCTGAGACAGTGATCTCTGCACCCGAGCAGAGGAGCAGGTATTGCCTTACCAGCTGCAGGAAATCCACACTATCATGTCTCAAAATACTCCTGCTGGGGATGGAATGATACTTCACTTTACTGGCCACCAGGAGTTCATCAACACTCACTAGCTGGGAGCAGCCAGCTTAAACACCAGTGCCAACCCTGTTAGCAGCCCTGTGAACTCACACTGCAAATGCTTTTATTGGTGACTGAGCACCTGATGGCACCCTCTGCATAAGAGAGACCAAGAAGTAAAAACTTCTTCCCACTGCAGCAGGCTCTATCCCTCCATCCTCCACCCTGATCTCTAATTTAATCTGGTTTAACCCATCTCTTCTCATCACAGACCTGTGGAGCATCCCTCAGCACAACCCTGGATGGCCAGAAATGAGCAACAACACTCACCTTTGCATCCCTCTCTGCAAACTTTGTGAACATGTTGGCGTAGATCCTCCGGTCCCTCTCGTTGTGCTCCTTGGTTTTCTTCTGGCACACGGAGATCTGGGATTTCGCTGCTTTGTTCTGTGGGTTCACTTCCAGCACTTTTTGAAAGTCACATTTGGCCAGCTCGAACTCGTTCATCAATAACCTGGCTTCACCCCTCCTGTACAAGCCTTTCTCATTGTCCTGGTCCAACCCCAGAGCCTGGGGACACACACAGGTCTCTGTTAACATCCCTGAGCCCTCCCAAGAGATCCCCTACAGCTGAAGCCTCAATAAATCTGTCAAAATTAGGACAAGGTGGCTTCAAATCTCCAGAGCAGTTGCATCTTGCTCAACAAAAGTTGCCTCATCTCCATCAGCAGCTGGGAGATCATTAATATAGTTTTATTATCTCTCCTTGCTTAAAATACCCCTGAGTGTGGCAGGGGTATTCCTTCTTAGATGAAAAGGAACTTTAAAAAACTCCATCAAACTCCCAATGAGAACATGCAGGAGAAGAGGATGCTTCATG